TAATTTACAAAATCTTCACGAAAGAGTTTTAATATATTTCCAAATATAGGCCCTTAAATACACACAAGCTGTTAATTAACAGTAAAGTTAAGTCTAATATTGCATCTTAATCGAAGGGGGATATTTAAATTGTTTTAATTTAAATTCGTCAAATTAAAGATATGCATACTATTTTAAAGACCCCCCCCCCTCTTTTCACTATCTTTTCGCTTGTGACTTTTAAAAAAAAATTCTTCAAACGCTACTTGCCTGTTAGTAATTGCTGCTAAAATAAAATGTAACAACAGTACAGTGATTATCTCTGCCCACTTTTGATCGGGCCCATCTTAAAGAACGAGACCTAGCTTTAAAACTTTCAACCCATTATTTCCCCAGCTAGGAATTCCCTAGTTTGTGTTGATGACGTAAGTCGCATAGAATCAAAAAGACTTGAAGACGCCGATCAAAGAAACGACAGCGAAGTTTGAGTCGGTATCTGTCCAAACACGATTCGCATTTTCAGTTATCGTTTGCTGTCTATGATACGATTGCACTGCACCTATCTGTTGACGTACGTCATCATCTGTCTCTAGCGAAATCGGCTGAAAACACTTTCTAAGTTTGTTGACTGAAAACCCTTTGATGGATTTGATTTGGTTATGAAGATCAGCTGATAAATTATATTTAATATTTTTTTTTTGCTTTTTGTTTACATCCAGTTGTCAAAGGGTTAAACGGCTATTACGTCAAAATAAACTGTGCTTTACGTCATGGATGGCAATTTATTAAATGTAGGCATGTGATATGACATAATATGAAAACTTGTAGATGTGTTTTTTTTAAAAATCAAACAAGAGATGCAAACGTTATCTGCAAGTCTTTTGTTAGGGCTAACCCACCTCTACTGCCCCCCTCCCCCCTACGAATGTGACGTCATTTATGGATGACCCCTAACCCAACTCTACTGCCCCCCCCTCCCCCAACGAAATAGAATTTATCTAGAAAATATATACTTTTACCAGTGTCCGCATCTACACCCTCGTAAAATTTTAGTCCGCCCCCACCCCCCTCCACGAAAATTTCAAGTGCCCCCCCCCCCGTCTCTTTACAGTCAAATTTTTTGTAGGTGGACGTGTAGTGTGGACAATTGCAAAATAATTAAAAAATAAATAAATATGTACATAAATTCAATACATTGGTTAGATTGGAAGTATAAAATGCAGCGTAATGTCTAGTGCCGGCGCCAGGTTATTTAGCGCACTAGGCAAAGTTTATTAAAACGCCCCCTTTCACACAAATCAATAACTAAAACATATGCATAAGAAAACAATTAATTTATTATCAATTGTATACACGTTATCAGTTGACATCAAAATCAAATTTTACTTGCCTCCTTCGTCGCAAAAGTTTGTACTAATTCCCTCAATTCCAATTTGCAAGCGTAATCACATTTTATTGAAATTGTTGCTAAGTGCACGAGTCCAGAGGCGTAGAGATGGGGGGGGGGGGACGGGGGGGGGGGGACGGGGACATATGTCCCCGGGCGCCGACCTTAAGGGGCGCCAAAATGGGTTGTAAAAACAAATTAAAATGTCATTTTAGCTGTATTTTTGCAGTTTGAGGGGGGGGGGGGGGGTACAAATCGAAAAGTTGAGGGGGGGGGGGGGGGGGGTTGCAAATCGAAAGTTTAAGGGAGGGGATTCAAAGAAATCGAAAGTTTGAGGAGGGGGGGGGGGGTACAAAATCGAAAGTTTGAGGGGGGGGGGGGTGCAAATTTAAAATTTGTCCCCGGGCGCCGTGAAGGGTCGCTACGCCTCTGCACGAGTCTACTTTGTACTTTACGACATAGCCCCCCCCCCCCCCTTAGAAAATTTAAAGTGCTCCGCCCCCCCCCCCCCCCTCCCGGGAGAAAAAACTCTGGAAAAAAAACCCACTGAATTAAAAAAAAGTTCTAGTAGTGTTGGGCTCCTTGCAGTCCTGCCAAGGTAAGTTCTAAAACGGAACTTACCTGTTTTATACTGACTGTCTTTAGTTATAATTGTAAAATATCTATATAGTGTGATTATGTAACGATTTTTTTTTTTGGTTTTTAAAAAATAAAAGGTTATAAACGTTATATATTCCAGCCTAAAATATGTATATATGAATCATTTATGGGTGAAAATATGAAAAGACAATTAATTAGATGTTTAATTTACGACTAAGACTGCATGTCTACTAACATTAAGTATTGCAATCTGTAACGGCTACTGATGTATTTGTTTTTTTTAACTTGATAATGCTAAAAAAAACCCTACCAAACTATTTTGTTTAGAATTTAAGCTCTATCAAATTTTTTACAATAGCAAATACTAACTTAAAGTTGTATTTATATGTAAGCGGTAAACCTAAGGTGCAGGAATTTAAAATGAACGTAAAGTTAAGCACCGAATTATCTCCCATTTGAAAATCCAAATACCAAAATTTTATTCAAGGGAAATAGCTTTCACAAGAATAGCCAAGTGTAACTAAGACACAATTGAAAAACACAATAAAACGCTCTAAATTTCATTTCGTAACAATTATAACAAATCTTTTACATTAGCTATGTAACCATGTGAAAACATTGTATTTTACCAATTGAATACTTAACGTAGGTTTAGTTTGAAAGTCTAAAAACGGTAGCTTTATTATTACATACTTTATTCAATTTTGATGACATTCTTAAAATTAACTTTACCTTTCAAAAAACTAATTTAAAATTTTGGATCCCCTAACTAAAGGGACGCCGTTAAAAAAATCGAATTATTGATTAAATATGAGAAAATTATAATTTGAGAAAACTAAGTTTACGGTTAGTTTTAAATTCCATCCTATTTAATACTATATATTAATACTTTTAAAGTGGTAATATAGATTCCTAAAAAACTAAAGATTTTTCAACTAGAGAACGTCTACCTTTATTTGTAGTGTGTTCCGAACTGGATTGAAATCATCTAACTTACAATAAACTCGACTACTCGATATACTCTACTACATTCACAACACACATCAAATTTCGATACTTAAACATAACTAGACTCGATGCTCCAGAACTATGACATCAACTCGTTTCACTTCACCAAACTCTACAAACGGTATTCCAAATCAATAACGATTTCACTGGATCTACTACTACACTACAATATAATTCGATACCTTAATACCACAAGAATCAATACTCCCGAACTCCAGAACTACGATACTTCATCACCTGCATTCTCATTTCTCTATTACCAATCAGATTCCACTAGACCTTCAACTACAAAGTTGTTAAGACACGTTGGGGTGTAGGTGGTGTTAGGGTACGTTGGGGTGTAGGTGGTGTTAGGGTACGTTGGGGTGTAGGTGGTGTTAGGGTACGTTGGGGTGTAGGTGGTGTTAGGGTACGTTGGGGTGTAGGTGGTGTTAGGGTACGTTGGGGTGTAGGTGGTGTTAGGGTACGTTGGGGTGTAGGTGGTGTTAGGGTACGTTGGGGTGTAGGTGGTGTTAGGGTACGTTGGGGTGTAGGTGGTGTTAGGGTACGTTGGGGTGTTGGTGGTGTTAGAAGGGTAAGTTGGGGTGTAGGTGGTGTTAGAACGATACATTGTGGTGTGGATGGTGTTAGGATAAGATGGGGTGTTGGTGGTGTTAGAAGGGTAAGATGTAGGTGGTGTTAGAACGATACATTGTGGTGTGGATGGTATTAGGATAAGATGGGGTGTTGGTGGTGTCGAACGGTAATTTAGGGTGGTGATCGTAACATTGTTACCAGGGAAGGTGGGTATAGGCGCTACTGACCAGCTATTGTGGGTTTCTGGTGGTACTTTCAATATTTTTGTTAACCGCCCACGCAGTGTTATGTCTGGTATAAACCCATTTAGGTATTTTGGGTGGGTGAAGCTTAACTTTAAACAATTTTTTTTCCACTTTCAATATTATAAAAGAAAAAAAGAAAAAGAAAGCCCTTCTTCTAACTGCGCATGCGTCACAAGATTAAAAAGTGAAATGGACCCATCAAAACAAGGAAACTAAGCCGCCAATTGTTTACGTTTGACGAGTGTTTGCTCTTGTATGTTGTTGTAAATCGGGTAGCAACGGGGCATTAATCAAGCGCGATAACTCCGTATCAGGATAGACAACCTGGTATAAAAGGCAGACGACCGTCTACACTCCAGCACCATTTAAGACGCACCCACACCTTTCTTACAGGTAACTGTCAACTTTTTAATTGACAATATGGCTTATTGCTTTTTATCGCATTTTTTAAAAAGCATGACCATGTTTTTTTTTTAAATATTGCTTTCTATTATAGATCTACGTGGTTTTTTAAATAAGTTTTTTAAATCAGATAATTTTTTTAAACATATTCTTAGGTGACTATTTGGTGACTTGCTACCTATTCTACAAAAGCATTTCGTAGCCATGGCAACGATCCACAAGGTAGCATGGAGCTTGATGATTGGATATGTTCTCTCGTCTGCTTTTGGGATTTCCATACCCCAAATCTTGACTTCCGGCGGGCGTGAAAACGTTCCTCTCCGCGCACCGCTCAAAATTAAGGCGCCCAAAGTACCGCAACCACCACTGCAATCCGTAAGTTATCTTTTCTAATAGTGACATATGCTCTCATACAGTAATTAGCATCAATCAAAGAATCTCGGAATATCTTATATATATATATATATATATATATATATATATATATATATATATATATATATATATATATATATATATATATTTAGGACAATGAAGGCTTTTACTTTTGATCGTAATGTTTCTTAAAAACTTTTTTCTAATATTTGCTTGTAAACAAGTATTAGTGGTAATAACATCTATGAAAATAACATCTATGAAAATAACATCTATGATTCTTGAATTAAAATAAAAAGACTATTGAAGGGCATGTTTTGTTTAAATTTCTCGATTTAAAAATAAATCAGAATTTAGATTGAATATTTGCCTATGACTTGTTTTAAATATGTATAGTTGTATTCCGTTCTTTCGTAATTCAGTTTCATCGCTCTCTGTCACATGAAGATTTACGTCACTACTTTGACACGCACAACATGGAGCATGGTAAGTAGTTTTTTTTTATATTTGCGTACAATATATATATATATATATATATATATATATATATATATATATATATATATATATATATATATATATATATATATATATATTCATACTTTAAAACATGCAATTATTCCATCAGTTCCCCAGTATGCCATTGTATCTCCTCGTCACGTGGTCAGCCCTAATTCTTCCAGTGACGTCGTTGAATATCACGTGACTGCTTTTGGAGTCAGCTACCACCTAAAATTAGAACGTAACAGCCGACTGGTTTCATCAGGTAGGCCTAACCTATATATATATATATATATATATATATATATATATATATATATATATATATATATATATATATATATATGTGTGTGTGTGTGTGTTTAATTGGGACCCCATTCACCCCGACCCTGGTCCCTGTGTCACCTATGCTTTTGTTATCTCACATTTTCCCACGTTTTCTTTAACTTGCTTTCGCGTCTGTTTTTCCAATCAAATCTTGCGATCGAAATTTCGGGCACTTCCCAGTTAGCTAGCGCGCTGAAATTTTCAGGGAAGCTTTGTTTCCGATGACAATAGAATATTCAATTGTTATTATTACTAAATTGATCCATGGAAACATTTTATTGATCATTTTAGACCGCTATATATTTGTACAAAAAACGTGGGGGGAAAAGGGACATAACCCAGTAATTGTAATTTGATGAAAACAAGGTTCGGTACTCTCCCTCTTTTGGCTTACTGAGTCTTTGGTCACGCTGTGTTTGTGTACCAACAACCGGAACAACTGGTGGCCAGTATGGGGGAGACGATATGGTCGAGTGGTTGGGCACACGATTGCTAACCCCCTCGACAGGGGTTCAAGGCACGTGTTTTTTACGAGTTGTCTTCGTTTACCCAAAAAAAAGTGAATGCGAAAAGATAAAATCGATAGCAAGATTTTAATGCAAACAAACAGACAAAGACTAAAAAGTAGAAAATAATTATCATTAAAAAAGTTTTTTAAAAACCCACGTTTTCTGATTGAACTAAAACGTAGAAAATAAATGCTTTACATCACAATAATGCAAGCGATCACTCTACTATAAGCGATGAAAAACGTGAGGCGCCGTGATTTTCTTACAGTTTCTAATACTGTTGACTCTCTACAAGTTCCCTAATAAAAGTCAATAGTATTATCTAATCAATAGTAATATAACTTTTACATCTTATATTAACAATGACCGATAAAAAGCTTTTACTTCGGCGCCCCCGTTTTTCATCGCTTATAGTAGAGTGATCGCTTGCATTATTGTGATGTATAGCATTTATTTTCTACTTTTTAGTTCAATCAGAAAACGTGGGTTTTTAAAAACTTTTTAAATGATAATTATTCACTTCTCCAAGGTGTGTTGATATCAAATCAGCAGAAGCTCACAATATTTACACCACTTAAATTTCGATTGGGAAATTTAAAAGTCTTGCTCCTGCCTTTTGAAGTATTGCATCTAAATCATTAGAACCTATGCAGAAAAATCTCATGCATTTATTTAGTATAGTTCACAAATCTTTAAAATTGCGCACATTTAATGTACAGGTTGCATTGTGGAGACGCGGGTCAACGGAACAAAACACATCTCATCCTGCCTTAAATCGAACCCCAACGGCTCTGCTGTGGACGATTGTTTCTACATCGGTCACTCCGTCAGTCACAAGAGATCCCTGGTTGCTGTTTCCACTTGCTTTGGGCTGGTGAGGTCACGTTAAAACCAGAGCTTGTCTCTCAAGTCAAGCTAAGTTTATCTAAACGAACATTTGTAAATTTGATCACTAAATCAGTGTTTCTTCCAGACTTTTTCTCGGGGGGGGGGGGGGGGGACTTGAAATTTTCGGGGGTGCGGACTAAAATTTCCGGGGGGGGGGGGGCACTGTTAAAAGTATTTATTTTCTATATAAATTCCATTTCGTTCGGGGGGGGGGGGGGGTTCAAACCGGAAGAAACTGTACTAAATTCCAGTCCCCTCCCCTACTCCTACCCAAAAAAAAAATAAACCGGGAGTGATCTCCCCTAAACTTTCTCGAATATTTTTATATAAAATAACAGGGGATGGGAACTCGGGCTATAGACATGATTTTTAATCCATTTTAAATACTTAAAGTTTTAAAAATAGAATAAAATCTCGTAGACAAATTAATTGCACACCAAGTGAACGCGAAATAAAAAAGCGCATAATAGTGCGCAATATTATTAGTACTTTTAAAATTTACATTAGTTATTTGAGAAATCGGAAGTAGCGTAAATTACTACTTCCGGTCAACGGAAATTACTCAAAATTTAACAGAAGGTAGAGAATTAGATCTTTTACTTACATGTGAAATTTCATTTATCTATCTGAAATAGTACTCAAGTTATAGGCTTTTGAAAAATTCAAAGTAGAAAAAGTACCACTTCCGGTTATCGGAAATCGCTCAAAAGTTGATACGGATCTACGATTTTGATAAAATACTTATATATGAAATTTCATCAACCTAGCAGTAACGGTACTCAAGTTATCGTGTTTACACACGGACACACAGACAGACAGACAGACACACACACACACACACACACACACACAGACATACGGACAAGATTGCAAAATTATGTTTTTCCGTATCAGTGAGGTGTAAAACGTCGAGATTTGTAAAAATCTCGATTTTTTTTTTTTTTGCACGATTACAATACTTTCTCTATACTACGTATATACGAGAAAGTAAAAACAACACAAAATACAATATATAACAAAATAAATAAAAATAATTAACAAATGGGTTTCTAAGTTAGTCTAAATAGTCTCGTAACTTAAGCCATGTGTTTCTAAGCAAGTTTTTGTAAATTCGTTCTCTAAATTTAAGAAAATGTAAGAACATTTTTAACTTTAATCCCAATTTTTGCCAATTCAAATTCACTTATCTTGTTGCTTGCGTATTGTTCATTACCCATTGAATGGTACCAATGCCGCACCCACCAGTTTAACTTTCAGACTTTTACTCCGGAGGTGGTGGTGACTTGAAATTTTCAGAGGGCGGACTTAATTTTTCCGTGGGGTGGGGGGGGGGGGGGCGCTGGTAAAAGTATCTATTTACTATGTAAATTCTATTTAGTTCCCGAAGCTAAGCCTGAAAGAAAATATTTCTCCCACCCATCTTTGTATTAATCTTGTTAATAATTTTTTATCACTAAAAAGCAAGGTGTAATCAGCATTGCTGGCAACGACCATGACCTTGTCATTAAACCAATCAAATCAAAACACCAAGAGCGCGCTAGACGCAGCGCTGAATCAGACAACCCCCACATCGTATTCAGGAGAGAAACAAAGCACCAGCTATGTGAAGGTGAGTACATCTGTTTAGTTGATGACCATTGGCCGTCCATACATGACGTCACGTCCCAAGTGGGACAAGGAGGGAGTGACTAACGAAATGCTACGTGTCATGAAGAGAAGAATCCCTACATAGAAATTATTTTAAATAACCTGAAAGTCTCAAGTTCGAATCCCGAGATCCTGTAGGTATTTCCTGACTACACCCAGCTCTGATGGGTACCTGACTTTAGAAAAACAAAGGCGGTTTCGCATAGTGTTGACAACACTATTCCCTTGTATGCCGAGGTCATTGAAAAAGATGAACTCTACTTTATCTGCCTTATGAGCCTTGTGCAAGAACGTAAAAATAACCGGTGATGAAAATAATGAGTAGGGTTACTTGTGCATTTTTAAATTCAAGTGAAAACTATCTTATTCATTTCCAATTAAAATAAATCATCAGTCTCCAATTTATATAGAGGTAATACTCGATGGTATTTTGCATGTTATTTTGATGCTTTTATGAGAAGGGAATATTGTAAAAAATAGTTTGTACTGACACAAGGCAGGCATTTACAAATAATTCAAGGTGATCTCAACACTCTACACTCTTTAAATGGCAGATCTTGCAAATAAAATAATAATGAGCGAAACAATTAAAACCATTTTTACCGAAGTTGTGATAGATAAGCTTAAATGATTAAAAAAATCATATTAAATGCTGTGTCGTGTGTAAAGTCTCGTGAACCTATCCAACAAATCTCACCTTATCGTATTGTAAAGTATGATACCTATCTCATGTTAATCAAATATAATATGTTTCTTGAAGGTCTAATTTGCTTTAATAAAAATGAATTCTTGGACATTTTTTTTTTTGCAAAATTAGCTAAGATAATTGAGTGAATCTCAGGAGCCACAAAGTATCCATTTATTTAAAAAAGCAAAACCAATGTGCTATAATTCACATACAAATTGGAGATAGGAAATCACACCACCCCACTCCAACACTTCGGAACATGTCCACCCCCACCTTGACGAAATAAAAAAAATTCAGATATTTAAACAGAAAATAAATACTTAAACCAGTGTCCGCCCTGTGTCCCATAATTTCAAGTACTTCCTCCAGAAACTTCAAGTGCCCCCCCCCCCCCCCCCCCATCCCCGGAGTAAAGAGCCTGAAATAAACCTTTGGAGGTACCAAGATTTATGTGTTGTAAAAGGATCCAAAGGGAGGTACTGTAACAAAAATATTGGAAACAGTTGTCTAAATGTAGAAGGTGTTTTTTTCAGGAGCGGTAGAGGTCGCTGACAGGCTGTATAAAGCTTCATCTCCCCACAGAGCGGTCAAAAGGTCAGCGGGCGACCTTCACATTGAACTCCTTCTTGTAGCAGACAAAACTATGCACGAAACTTACGGACTCGATCTGAAAAATTTTCTACTGTCTGTAACAAACGTGGTATGTGTAGAAATGTGATGGATATATGTGTTGAAATGTGATAGATCTATGTGTAGAAATGTGATAGATCTATGTGTAGAAATGTGTGGGATCTATGTGTAGAAATGTGATGGATCTATGTGTAGAAATGTGATAGATCTATGTGTTGAAATGTGATAGATCTATGTGTAGAAATGTGATAGATCTATGTGTAGAAATGTGATAGATCTATGTGTAGAAATGTGATGGATCTATGTGTAGAAATGTGATGGATCTATGTGTAGAAATGTGATGGATATATGTGTAGAAATGTGATAGATCTATGTGTAGAAATGTGATGGATCTATGTGTAGAAATGTGATAGATCTATGTGTAGAAATGTGATGGATATATGTGTAGAAATGTGATAGATCTATGTGTAGAAATGTGATGGATCTATGTGTAGAAATGTGATAGATCTATGTGTTGAATTGTGATGGATCTATGTGTTGAATTGTGATGGATCTATGTGTAGAAATGTGATGGATCTATGTGTAGAAATGTGATAGATCTATGTGTAGAATTGTGATAGATCTATGTGTTGAATTGTGATGGATCTATGTGTAGAAATGTGATAGATTTATGTGTAGAAATGTGATAGATCTATGTGTAGAAATGTGATAGATCTATGTGTAGAAATGTGATAGATCTATGTGTAGAAATGTGATGGATCTATGTGTAGAAATGTGATGGATCTATGTGTAGAAATGTGATAGATCTATGTGTAGAAATGTGATGGATATACGTGTTGAAATGGTGTATTTAAATTTACCTTACATCATAGCAGCATTAAAATAAATAGAATATTTGAATACGTTAAGTTTAACGGATAGCATGTTAATTTATCTTTAGAAAAAAACACGAAAAAAACCACGAAAAAACCTGGCACAATTGCTTTTGTTTTAACCAGTAAAAATTTAAAAGCAAAGTAGTTTAAGAACATGTCACATTATGGATTTTTCAGCATTTTTTGGAAGTTATTCTGTCTCACAATTGTCTTTTTAAATAAAAATAACCTACGTTGTATTTTTATTATTCTGGTTAATACACAGTTAATCTTATATGGTTATACCACTGCTTGATACTGCCGCCTTTCTAAATTATAACTCTGCAATAAATAAATAAATAAATAAATAAATAAATAAATAAATAAATAAATATATGTATATATATATATATATATATATATATATATATATATATATATATATATGTTTGTATATAAATAAGCCTGTATATATAAATATATAGGCTTTTATATATATATATATATATATATATATATATATATATATATATATATATATATATATATATATATATATAGGCAATAAAGGTTTAACTAAATAATAATATCAGATTTTATTTATTAGATAAACAGTATTTTAAGTATATGTAATGCCTAGTATCGAAATGTAAGGTGTGCTACTAGAAATGATATTTTAACTGTGAAGTAGAACCCGCCTCATTTAAAAATAAATCCACAGGCTAATGCCAGATTCTCAGACCCCAGTTTGGGCAGAAAGATCTACCTGAGTGTAACGCAGGTGAAAATCCTGGAGTCAGACCTGCCAGGCCTGGAGATTGTGCCAGATGCCGGATACGGGCTGAAGAGTTTCTGTGAGTGGCAGGAGAGAGAGAATCCTCTGCTGGACACTGACCCCCTCCACCACGACGCTGCTGTCCTGTTTACCAGGTGAGGGGTTTGGGTTTTGATAGGGTTCATGTTTTAAGTTGTGAGCCTTCATGTTTTAAGTTGACAGCCTTCATGTTTTAAGTTGACAGCCTTCATGTTTTAAGTTGTGAGCCTTCATGTTTTAAGTTGACAGTCTTCATGTTTTAAGTTGTGAGCCTTCATGTTTTAAGTTGTGAGCCTTCATGTTTTAAGTTGTGAGCCTTCATGTTTTAAGTTGTGAGCCTTCATGTTTTAAGTTGTGAGCCTTCATGTTTTAAGTTGTGAGCCTTCATGTTTTAAGTTGTGAGCCTTCATGTTTTAAGTTGTGAGCCTTCATGTTTTAAGTTGACAGTCTTCATGTTTTAAGTTGTGAGCCTTCATGTTTTAAGTTGTGAGCCTTCATGTTTTAAGTTGACAGCTTTCATGTTTTATGTCTATAGCATGTTGACAGCGTTCATGTTTTATGTCTATAACACGTTGACAGCGTTCATGTTTTATGTCTATAACACGTTGACAGCCTTCATGTTTTATGTCTATAACACGTTGACAGCCTTCATGTTTTAAGTCTATAACATGTTGACAGTGTTCATGTTTTAAGTCTGTAACATGACAGTGTTCATGTTTTAAGTTTATAACATGTTGACAGCCTTCATGTTTTAAGTCTATAACAAGTTGACAGCCTTCATGTTTTAAGTCTATAACATGTTGACAGCCTTCATGTTTTAAGTCTATAAAATGTTGACAGCCTTCATGTTTTAAGTCTATAAAATGTTGACAGCCTTCATAGTTTAAGTCTTTAACATGTTGACAGCCTTCATATTTTAAGCCTATAACATGTTGACAGCCTGCATGTTTTAAGTGTACAACATGTTAAAAATATTCAATATTTTAAAGTCTATAAAATTTTCGTGCTACTTAAATTAGTTTTTAAAAATTTAAAAATTATAAATATTAACCCATCAATACAATCCTATAATTGACACTAACACATTCAACACTTTTTTATCTTTTTAAAAAAATCGTAACATATTTTTGTTCTCTTAGCAATTAGACATTAACCAGTAATCAATATATTTTCACATCATTATTTTATGTAACAGACTTGACCTCACCCATGGGTCTGGTGGGTCAACTAACCGAGGCCTGGCCAGCAATGGAGGGATGTGCACCAGGAGCACGAGCTGTGCTTATGTGGAGAGTACCGGACTGGACACAGGGGTCACACTGGCACACGAGCTCGGACACACGTAGGTTTTTCTTGTCTGCTCTTGTTTACATCATCACTAAACCTGTTCAGCAACCAACTACATCATCACTCTATCTCTACTCCACCAAACTACAGCATCACCCTACTTACTATCCATTCAACAACACCATTGCTCCACTCACCTTACTACCAGTGTTTCTTCCAGACTTTTTTCTCTAGGGGGGGGGGGGAGCACTTGATATTTTGAAGGGGGGGGGGGGGGGAGGCGGACAACATTTTCCGGGGCGGGGGGGGGGGGGGAGGGGGTAAAAGTATATGTTTTCTATATAAATTCCATTTCGTTCAGGGGGGGGGTAGACTTTCTTTGGGGTTGGGGCAGATCCCCAGAAGAGATGCCTGGAAGAAACTCTGCTTACTACACCAATATCCTCTTCACGCAATTATACCATAACAACCTGCCTCATGCTGGAATTTATAAAAGATTTGTTTAAATGAAAGACAATAGTAAAAAAAAAATAATTGCCAAATATCATCCAGGTTTTACACTTACTTCAAGCAATACATTTAGTTAAATCACATTGCAAGGGACATAATCTTCAAAGGGACATAAACATTATAGAGATAAACCCCACATTCTACATCTAAAATATCATCACATAAATGTTGAACAGGTTAGGTATGTCCCATGATGGGGACCATAACAACTGTACTAATTTCAAAAATATGATGGCCTCTGATGGGGCAGTAGGACCTGAGAGCTTTAAATGGTCACCATGTAGCAGAGATGCCCTCAACAGGTTTATTAGGTGAGCACCACATTTTGTTTCTTATCAGTGGTTTATTTGTTGAACTGAATTTTTTTCAAAATGGAATCTGTAACAATGTAATGTTGGCCCATTTAGTTTATTCTTAATAGTTTTTTTTTACCTTAATAAAGACTAGATTTATTTGATCTCTAAAGAGCTTTTAGACATATAGGCCCTAATATATATATATATATATATATATATATATATATATATATATATATATATATATATATATATATATATATATATATATATATATATATATATATATATATATATATATATATATATATATATATATATATATATATATAAAAGAAGATTTTTTTTAATCAATGTTTAAAATTTATTAAAAAGCTCTGGGAAAGCTGAATGCCTAAATGACCACCCTGTCCACTTTGAAGACCTGCCCCATGACTTGCCAGGAATTCTATATGATGCTAATGATCAGTGCCGCTTGTGGATGGGAACTAAATTTTACCACGACTCAAGTAGTAATGTAAGCTTCAATACATATTACCACGCCCCAAGTAGTAATGTAAGCTTCAATACATTTTAATCTTACCATGACTCAAGTAGTAGTGTAAGCTTCAATAAATTTTAATTTTACCACGACTCAAGTAGTAATGTAAGCTTCAATAAATATTTTACTAAGATAAACTATAATACATGAGTTTTAATTATCGCAAGACTTTGGCTTATACTTGATTGCGTGTTAAATCATTAAATGTCAAAGGGTCTAAATATAGCAAAATGTTGGATACTTATTACTAGGTTTAGAAATATTTGTAACTCCTCACCTGTAAATATTTTTTGCATGACAGATTTTTCTTTAAACAAGTAAACTGTATATTTTTATGTGTGTTAAGTTTGGGCGTTCTATTTTAATTAAATTATTGTAAAATAATATTCCAGGATTCCTGCGGTGAGCTAAAATGTCAATACCCAAACTCAAATGGTTATAAATCCTCTGGGGCAGCCATGATGGATGGGTCCATGTGTGGTCAAAGAAAGGTAACTCATTATTCAAAACTTGAGTATCACTTACGAATTATTGTATATGGAAGCAAATTATAGAGAAAGTATTGTTACCAAAAAACTTTTGCCAATTATAATTTACGAATATTAAAAATTGTTTTATTTAAATTATAATATATAACCTCACTTTTTGTAAATTATTCCAAAATATTTTTGTTTTACTAGCTGGCTAACTTTTAAAAAAAAAAACAACTATTTTCTCCAAGTGTTTAAATAGTGTGACATGTTTTTTTCAGTGGTGCATTATGGTGTGACATGTTTTTTTCAGTGGTGCATAAATGCAGTTTGTGTAGACATGGGAGCAGGCAGTCCTGGTCCAGTTAATGGTGGCTGGTCAGCTTGGTCACCTGACTGGTCATCCTGCTCTAGAAGCTGTGGGGGCGGAGTCAGATCTAAAACTAGAACCTGCGACAACCCAAGGCGAGAATATATTTTTATACCGTCAAAACTCTTGACAATTTTTAAGTTTTCTTATAGTGATTAGAAAGCCAAATTAAAAAAAAAATCAAGAAGTAAAATTTTAAATTTGTTACTTTTTGTATCCGCAGGCCTCGATTTGGTGGTAAAGAATGTGAAGGTCCCAGCGTAAAAACAAACCTATGTAATGTCAAGGTCAGAAAATTAATTATTGTAACATAATTTGAATATCATGATTTGAAAGACATATATTCTAAAGCAGAAGTAGGGGGGGGGGGAGTGAGGGGAGGCAGACACAAAAGAGTATATTTTATTATTTAATTTAATTATAAATTATATATTTTTTTCTGTTGTGTCTTGAGGGGTGGGGGATGTGCTCAAGGCAGCCCCCACCCCAGAAAGAGGCCTTTAAAGAACTCTGTTCTTAAGCCAGGCGTAGTTAAAAAAATTAGTTAAAATCTGGAATATCAAGCATTGATTTAATGTTTGTGTCTCTTGTCACTTTATTCTCTGGTTTATTTCAGTCATGTGGTACACCAGAGGACAAGTTTAAAGAAGATCAGTGTCAGGCAACACATGACCAGCCAGTTGATGGTCAGTTGTATGACTGGTCACCTGCGGATATAGGAGGTAGAGATCAGAACATCATGATGTCTTACACTAAATTAGTCTTGTTTAAGTACTTGGCAATACAGCATTTGAATGTCATACACTAAGTTGGTCTTGTAAACGTACTGGGCAACGAAACAATGTATGTTATTTTCATTTGCCACTATTGCTGTTAAGGGTCAAGGTTATGTTTACCCTAGCGATACTGCAAAAAAAAGCTTCAAATTTTACTTTCAGCATTCTAACAAACATAAATGGATAACTACAATTTGAGTTATTTAAATTAACACTAAATTTAAAGTTGAAAAGAAGTATCACTAAATATTCAGTTGATCAAGGCTTTTAAGCCAGCAGTTGAAAATTTTGTTTACCTTCTACCAAGGGCAACAAGAATGCTTTCTGCTGTGTAGCTCTAAGCCAGGGAACAGGATACTCAGGCGTATGCTTAATGGAAGCAGAGACTTTAAAGATGGAACTGTGTGTCTGGGTGAGCAGACTGCAGATTTTTATAGATGTGTTCAAGGAAAATGTCAGGTTTGTTACGTTTCTTTTCCACTGCTGTTTTTGATAAACAATATACAATTTTAGTGTTTGAAGCCTAAATATTTTTGATGAAAATGAAATTATTGATTTTTGTCATAGGCATTTGGCTGTGATGGTCACTCAGATTCCAACAACAAGTTTGATAAGTGTGGAGTTTGTGGTGGTTTGGGCAATACATGTGCACCACATTCAGGAAGGGTAACTCTTGGAGAACCACACAGTAAGCATGATTATTTCCCTTCCTATAAATTATATTTTCTCAGATTTAGTTTTTAGTTTACAAAAATAAAAGCATTGGTGAATTAATTTCTTACGCACTTCAACTATCCACAGAATGGTCAACAATTGTGAAACTGCCCAAAGGATCCAGGGGTGTCAAGCTACAAAACAGAAATAAATTTACTAAAATGAGTAAGGCTCAATCCATTATTTTTATATTTATTTATGACGTGTGTATTTAAGTAAACAAGAACTAGTAATAAAATGTCTGAAACAACCAAGAAATAATGGAACAGATATTTGCTAACTTAAAAATATACTTTTTATTAAAGAAAATACATTATTATTCTTTTAAAATAAAAAAAAATTAAATTAAATTGGATATTCAAAAATGTTCTGATATTGTGCTTGTACCGCAATCTGGTTAAATGAAAAACAACTAAAAACTCATGGGTTTAATATTTATGTAAATATATTGAAAATTCAACATACAAAAACTAAAAAAAAATATGAATTTTGATCATACAGCATCTTATATTGTAACATACAAATAATAACAACATATACACATGAGAATTTCCTTGAACTTTTCAGCTGTAGCTGTGCATGGCAAACCTATATTCAATGAGAACCCTAACATGCAGGCACCCTCACAGACATACAGCACAGAGGGTCTCACACTGGACTACCATAGGGCCAGTGATGCAGCCTTAGAGTCAATCAACATTGACGACCCTATTCAAACAGAGGCAGAAGCCCAGGTGAGTCTCAGGGTTGATTTCATTAAAGGAATCCTTGTATTGCATTTTTGTATAATTTTACTAAATTCTTTAGTAATAAATTATTATAAACAATAAAAATAACATGTCAGTAATAAAAATGCCGTAAATTTTATAATATACTATTTGTTATTGCTTTATAAAAAAAAGATTTGTTCAGTTATCACATTTAGATACATTTTCAATTTTTGTGTTATCTTGTATAATATTTGTCATATCTAGGTAGCTAATAGTACTTAGTGAATTTCAGTTAATAACTCCTTGCTTAATACAGAATGAAAAAGTAAATAAAACTTTTCTCTCCGTTTGTACAGTAAGAAATAATTATGGAAAAACATAAAATTCCAAAATAATTGACATAATAATTATCAAAAGTTATATAAAAATAAAAATCCTATCTTTACAGCAATTACTGTGTTATAATTATGTTTTTAGGATAAATTTCCATAATTATTTCTTACTGTAATAACAAAAAAAATTAATAACACACAATCTGTTATAACGCTTCAGTAGTTACTGGAAATTGCATAATAAGTTATCAACATTCATATTATTAAAACAATTAATTAATAAAAACATTACTTTTTGAATTAAAAAAATCACTATTAGTTAAACAATTATTTATTCCATTAAAAAAATAATTTTGTTTTAAATGTTTCAGGTATTTTCCATATTCCCTGATGCCCAGTTTCAGCCTGACATCAGTTTTGATTTTTTCACCCCATCTTTCATTGAAGCCTTGTACGAGTGGGGGTCAACAAATGTAAAGTGTATGGCTGAATGTGGCAATGAAGGTAAAATAAACATGTCATTTGGGTGTCATCTGACATTTTTAAATCAGCTGCTGTAAGCCAATCATTCACTCAAACATGTACTAAAACACTACCATACAGCATCTAAAAAATTAATAATAAAAACTTGAAAATAATTAGGCCTTTATATTTTTAAAAGCCAAACGCATTTTTGTTGCATTCATTTATTTTACTAAGTATCCAAACTATTTGTGGGACAGTGGGGTCGAATAGTAGAATGTTTGGCTGCTAGCCAGAAGGCCTCAAGTTTGGATCTTGGTTCGGACGTTCCTGAGTCTACTACGCTTTGATGGGTACCTGACTTACATTGAGGAAAGTAAAGACGGCTGGGCATAGTGCCGACCACAACTTCCCTGGATATGCTGAGGTCAAGAAACAGGATATGTGATTCATCTGCTCAATAGATTGCTAGGTCTAAAGAACAGCTTTTCTTATCCAAGCAAACTCCATTTGGCTGAATCAATGTTTGTGTTTGCCATATATGTCTATGTTCCCTTTATGTCACCAGGTTATTATGAGGTTGAGGTGACCTGTCACAAAAAGAGTGACAACACAGTGGTGGAGGACAAGTTCTGCAACATTTTTGATAAACCTGACACAACAGGGGAAAAATGCATTGCAGGAACAGGGGAAAAATGCATTGCAGGTGCATGTGCGCCATTGTGAGTTCATTTGCTGATAGATTCCACATTCTTTTGTAATAACTTGGTAGCTCTTCATTTCTTAAAGTTTATTAACATTTTCATAGTTTTATATAGTCTACTAAACTCTATGTCTGTCAAATTTAAAAAAATACAATACAAATATGTAACATTAGCTACAATTGAATACTGTTTCGATTTGACAGTTTTTAGGATTTCCTGTTTTGTTTAGTTTCATTTTTTAAAACATCATTAGATTAGTATATATTTAAATACTTATTTGATGGATTTTTAAATAAGTTTTTAAAGTATTCTAGCTTTATTAATTAAAAAAGAAAGAAACTTAGAGTAAAACTGCCAAACCATGTTTGTTTTTGTTTTTACAGTTGGCAAACTGGTGAATGGAGTTACTGTTCAAGCAACTGTGGAAATGGAACACAGAACAGATCAGTGGAATGTGTTACAAAATCAGGTGGCGCCATTGTGCATGTCCCTACTAGTCAGTGTCCAGCCAATCAGAAGCCAGCTTCAAGCAGGATGTGTAATGGTGTCATGTGTGCTGCTAACTGGGTCACGTCCAACTGGTCAAGTGTAAGTTATCCGGGTGTAAAAAAAACAACTAAAAGCTTACACAAACTAATAGAAAACTGTTTCTATAACACATTTTAATATGCTGTGAACATAAATTTAAATAATTTCCTTTTTTTTACCATACTCTCTAATCTGCTGAACAAATAGAACTATTTATATGTCCTGTGTTGTGGACAATGTATTTCTGGACTGTTCTTCTGAATTACCAATAAGAATCATGATGCAAGAAACAACTTTTCTCAACAATATAGCTATGTAAAAAGAGTTACGGCTGTCATCAGATATAAGGGGTGGTGTGAAGGAGGCAGGAGGAGGGGTGTCAGAGGCTAATAAAACATCTTGCTTCACTTTCTCTAGTTAGGCTTCAGTTGTTGACTCACAAGGGAAAATACAAAAAAAAATAAAAAATTTAAAAACTTGTAGGCCTACAACATATTAATCTATTTCCTAGCCTCTTAATTGTATTTAAATAAGGATTTAAAATCAACGAATGCGTTCTCTCTATTGCTCAGTGCTCACTACCATGTGGTCGGGGTGTTCAGACCAGGGACGTGCGATGTCGGATTGGGGGAAGTGATGTCACAGACTCTCAATGTCATGGGTCAAGGCCAGAAAGTCGCCAGGCTTGTGTGGAGAAGATCTGCGACCCAACCATTGGTGAGTTTTTTTTATACTGCTGGTGACTGATACTTTGGATTATTCTAAATTTGCATGATCAAATTTGTAATATTTAATTAGATTTTTTTTGCAAATTTTTAATGTATAAAGAAATATATATTGCCTTATTTTATTTTAGATTTTAGAAGTTTTCAATAATTTTTAAACATCTTTTGCAATATAAAATGAAATTATCAAAATATTGTCTGACATATTAATGTTTAAATTTAATATGCGTAGTTCAAGAACTGGCAAATTTTTTGCAGTTAGCTATTTCATATGCATGACATTCAGGTAAAGGGATTCTCAATGCTCTTTATCTCCAGTTGGTGAAAACTGTACAGATATCAGTAGTGAATGCGGTGCCTATGACCTCACCATGTGCAACGACTATGCTGACTGGGCGCAAATCAACTGCCAATTCACATGCAGCTTCTGTTCAAAGACAGGTAGGCCGAACCATAGCTTAGCCGGATCTGGGTTTTTTAATTTGTTAAAGTCTTTGCTACTAGCTAGGTGTTTAAAAATCATATAAAAAGGTTGTTAAAATCAGTCAGAGAACAGTTTTAAAATATGAAATAAATAAATTTTGCTTTGAAAAAAGATCTTGGTTTAAATTCAATATTAAATTTTTATTTTAAATTTACTGTCCAAATTAAAATACTTTCTCTTTTTCTAGACTAATTTTGCATTATTTTAAGTTAGTTTAATATTCAAAATCAACGTCCACTTAATTTTTTTAACAACAGCCTGTCTGGACATGAGTTCTGACTGTACTGGATATGGATCGAGTATTTGTGAAGGAGAGTACGCACCATGGGCCAAAGAAAATTGTGCCAAGTTTTGTCAGTTCTGTGATGCTCGGGCTTCAGTGGCATCTGGGAAGAAGAGGACCTTGACATCTGACCCACAGAGGTCAGTGACATCAAGCACGCAAGGGTCAACATGTGGGAATAAAATAACGGACTGCGCTGCGTACGGTTACGGTATGTGTTCAGGAGAATATGGGCAGTGGGCAGCAGCAAATTGTGCTGAGTTTTGTGGGCTATGTGGTAATTCACAGTGTGCAGATGCTAGTCCTGACTGCGAAGGGTATGGGTTAAGTATTTGTTATGGAGATTTTGAAGACTGGTCCAAGGTTAACTGCGCAAAATATTGTGGCTTCTGCAACAGGACTTCAGCAGCTAATGGAACCTCTGTACCAGAGACACCTGCAAGTTCATGCAATGATGCCAGCACTGACTGCTCTGGCTATGGGGAAAGTATTTGTCATGGGGATTACGAAGATTGGTCAAAAGTCAATTGTGCCAGATTTTGTGGACATTGTGGATCACCAGAAACCACAACAGCCACACTGGCAAGTTCCTGTAAAGATGAAAGCACCGACTGCTCTGGCTATGGAGAAAGTATTTGTCATGGGGATTATGAAGATTGGTCAAAGGTCAATTGTGCCAGATTTTGTGGACATTGTGGATCACCAGAAACCACAACAGCCACACTGGCAAGTTCCTGTAAAGATGAAAGCACCGACTGCTCTGGCTATGGAGAAAGTATTTGTCATGGGGATTATGAAGATTGGTCAAAAGTCAATTGTGCCAGATTTTGTGGACATTGCAGCTCATCAGAAACCACAACAGCCACACTGGCAAGTTCCTGTAAAGATGAAAGTACTGACTGCTCTGGCTATGGGGAAAGTATTTGTCATGGCGATTACGAAGATTGGTCAAAGGTCAACTGTGCCAGATTTTGTGGACATTGTAGTTCAGTTTCCTCTCCCCCATCCTGCACCGACATCAGTCCGGACTGTACCGGGTATGGCCAGAGCATTTGTACCGGTGATTACACAGACTGGGCCAAGTTAAACTGTGCCAGATTCTGCGGCCACTGCAAAGCCAAATAATTTATCAGCTTATTTCTCTTTGCTGCTTTTTTCTAGTAATTAATGTTGTAATACTACACATCTGTAAAGGAAATCCATAAAAATTTAATGAAATTTTTTTTTTAGAAAAACCAAAACGAATTTTTTTTCCATGTCTCTTATAGTTTAAGTGACAATGTTCACAAGGAAAATAAAAAAATAGTTTTAAAAAACTAAAATTTTACCAAAACAGCTTAATGCAATACATATTTGTAGAACTGTTGTTTAATTTAAAACAAAATTCACTTGAATTTTTTTTCAAAGGACTTGTCACAAAATAATTTAAAAAAAAAAAAAACGTTCTTATCTGATATGTATTTGTGTTCATGTTTTTATTTTAACCTTTGAAATACCAAGGAATAACATTTCTAAAACAGTAAAATCTAAATGGCCACACTGCTTACATTATTTTCTGTCAAACCTGCTTAGATGTATTTAAACTATTGCATGATTTTATATTGCACGCTGTTTAACCCAGAATGTTTGATCATTTTATTTCATTGATAAATAAACTTATTGAGTGAAAATATAAAATATTGACTTAAATATTTATTTATAACTAAAAACCTAATTTGGCCACCTGATGGTCTATTAATAGATAGTAGATAGCTTTGCTCAGAGAAGACCCTGAGTCCACCCAGCTCTATAAATTTAACCCGAGGAAAAAAAAATGGCTGCTTACCACGTGACGTGGTAAAGAAACCCTGAAGGGTTTTTATTCCAATTTAAGTAATTAATTTTTAACACTGTCCAGATTGCTAAACCCAAAAAAGTCCTGATTTCGAAACCCAGGGTAGATGGGGCTCGTTAGCTCGGGGCAGCAACCCATCTAGGAGAGATAACTCCAAATTAAATTTAAAAAAATACCGCCTTGCAGATTGTTCTTGGATGAACAAATGTTATGGCAGCAAATCCAGAAAGAAAAGCAGGCTAAAATATGAGTCAACGGCCTATGTGGCGCAAAACATGTTGACAGGCAATACTTAATTAATTGTGTAGCTGGAAATGCCCTCCAACGCAACAATAAAGAAAGAAGAAGAAGACGTGATTCTTGAAGTACAAAAGTTTTTTTAATATTACCTTACTTTATTCGCAGAGTCTAGCAAACTGCAGTTATTCGCTGTCTTGTAAAAAAAAAAAAAAAAAAAAAAAAAAAAAAAAAAAAAAAAAAAAAAAAAAAAAAAAATCTAACCTAATAACAACCTTGACATTGAATAAACATTGCGGTTTAATCTTGTTATGTAAATACAATTTTTAAACCTGTTCCTGGACATCGGGGACGATAAAAGGATTAGAACCTAAAACAATGTTACTATTTTTACTGCAAATCTAAAAGATAAGCCGAATGATAATTTTATGAAATGAAATGAAGAACAGTAATAAAATAATTGGTGTTATTCGAAAAAGTAAACAGCCTAAAAGAAACCTACAATACCATACTAATATCATTGCAAGGAGATACTTAATACTCAGAGTTTCTTCCAGGCATTTCTTCAGGGGGAGGGGGGGGGGGGCGCTCCGCCCCTCCGAAGAAAGTCTACCGCCCCCCCCAACGATATGGCACTTATATAGTAAACATATACTTTACTAGTGTCCGCCCCCACCCCCCCCGGAATATCAAGTGCCCCCCCCCCCCCCCCGGAGAAAAAAGTCTGGAAGAAACACTGTTTATACTTGATATGGGCTTACCTACAAAAGCCACTAAAGGATAACTAGCAAAGTGTTTTAAATTTAAAAATGTAGCCTACGGTAAAAAAGCCATAAAAGCACCTCTTAAAGCCGAAATTTTTAAAAATCGTCTACCTACTAGAATGTTGATCATTACAGATCAGCACGTTATTATTAGAAAGACTTTAAGCCACGGGTTCCCAACCTGGGGGTCGCGACCCCCCTGGGGGTCGCGAAGGTCTTTCTGGGGGGGTCGCCAACTGGTATACTAAACCTTAGTAATTGAAACAAAACATAAATATTTAGAAGAATTTTTGAAATTCGGCTTCATTAACATCACTGGAAATGTAATAGAGAAGAAACAAAGCGCACTGTACAAAGTTGTTCTCAGTCACGAATCTATGAAATCTTCAAAACTAAAACTCATTTGAGACGAGTCATTCGGAACACACCAAAAAATATATGGAGTTCTTTCGTCGGTATGAAGCTAGTTGCAAACGTCAGAGACTTGATCGAACAGGAAGTTTTTACCAGGATTAGTGCAAGCATCACATGAAGTCGCGATAGAAAATGCCAAGCAAAAAAAAAAACAATAGGAGAAAATCTCATCAAACGCTGCATGTACGTAAATGTTAGATATTTTTATTAAAATTAAGCTTTCATTCTTGTTTGCTTTTCAAGTTGATAAATCAACAGACGTGAGTTCATGTTCGCAGTTGCTGGTCTGTGTCTATATTCATGCGGATGATAGCAATGAAGAGTTGCTCTTTTGTGAAGAGAGCATGGAGAAAATAAATACCTTTTTTGAAACTGGATGATTAAAATGGGCTAAAACGGCTGTGGGTGTTTGTACGGATGGCGCGCCATCTATGTTTAGCTCAAAATCGGGCTTTCAGAAAACAGAAAAGATTTAGCTCCCTAACCACTGCCCTAACCAATCGACATCAAGAGTCCATTGCTAGTATAAGTCGTAAATTAAATAAAATCTGGAACCTTCAAAGAACTGAGCAAAAACATTAATATAGATCACGAGGTTCTGCTCTTCTACACTACAGTACGCTGCAAAAATGTTGTTAATTGTGTTTTTGAATTGAAATCTGAAATCAAATTGTTCTTGGAAGTGCAAAGGAAACAAGACTTGTTGGTATACTTAAAACGACATAGAGTGGTTGGAGAGAGTATCATACCTAGCAGATGTGTTCGAACATCAAGATAAGCATAACCTGAAGCTTCAGGAAAAATGAACGAATATTATCACTTTCCATGATAATCTCGGGGCTATTTTATCAAAACTGCAAAATCGGTAAAGAAAATAAATCTTGGAAATATTGTAAATTTGAGAAACTGCGGTGTGGTAGATGAATCTGATTGTGAGATAATTAAAATTTTCAAAGAAGCGATTTCTGGGCATCTTGAATCTCTTGAAAACGAACTGCATCGCTACTTCTCTGAGCTGAAAAAAAAGAAGAATCTGCATTGACGCATTACACATTCTCTGCTTCCTTTGATGTTGCCAGCATCCCCGATGAATTACAAGGATAATTCTTTGATTTGTAGAATGATTCCGAGTAAGATGAAAAACTACAGACACAATTTTGGTGTAGTATTCACCATTCATACCCAAAAGTAAAATTGATTGACTTTTCGAGAATATATTTTCAACACTATTCTTCGATTAAAAACAAAATTAAGATAATTATAATGACACAGGTTGGCGTTAACAAAAAAAAATTTAATTAAAAAGTTAACCACGAAGGTTTAGTGAATAGTATGCAATTTTACTCATGCTTTTAAAACAGTTATCAAGAGTAGTTCATATTGAAAGTCTACTAGAAAATCTTATTTTAGTGCTTATTAATTTCCATACTAATTTCGGCTTTTTAATTCTATTGGGGTCGCGGGTCACTTACTTTTTATAAAAGGGGGTCGCCACTCGAAAAAGGTTGGGAACCACTGCTTTAAGCGATCAAAATTGTCTAGAATGTAGATCAGTACGTTATTATTTCAGCTGTTAATCTAATTTGTCTAGAAGCAAGATCAATGTGCTAAAATTAGATGTCCTCTACATATCTAAATTGTAAAAAAAAAACAACGTTGACCCTTGTGTTATGCCATTTGCAACTGACGCAGGTAAAAATAATGCACTAGTCAAGTGCATGACATGCAGTTCTATGGACTCTTTTGTTAGTATTCAAATAAAAGATCGCGTTAACACTACACGGAGTGATCATTTTGTTGGTTAATTGTTGTAAATACATTTTTTACTGTTGTAAGTAACTTTGTGTTTATCGTTGTCATTGAGTTGTGTTACTGTTGTAAAGAATTTTTAAAATGTTTGTTTGTGTCAGTAATGTTGTTGAGTTTATTGGTGTAAATAGATTTTTATGTGCTTTTTTACTTTCTCGTATATACGAAGTTTAGAGAAAGTCTTGCAATCGTGCAAAAAAAAAAAAAAAATCGAAATTTTTGCAAATCTCGACGTATAATAATTAAAATAAATTAAAGTAATTTAAAAAAAAAATTAATTAAAATTTATTTTAAAATTAAAATAATTAAAGTAATTAAAAATGGATTTAAAATATTGTCTATGTCCCGAGTTGCCACCCCCCGTAGTGTTATATTAGAATATTCGAGAAAGTTTAGGGGAAATCACTCCCGGTTTATATAATTTTTTTTTGGTTGCGTTAGTTTGGATTTTTTGTGTTAACTTTGGTAATTTTGTTGTGTTCATTGTAGTTATTTTGGTCTTGAATGAGTAATTTTGTATGTCTTGATGTATGTCTTGATGTATGTCTTGATGTATGTCTTGATGTATGTCTTGATGTATGTCTTGATGTATGTCTTGATGTATGTCTTGATGTATGTCTTGATGTATGTCTTGATGTATGTCTTGATGTATGTCTTGATGTATGTCTTGATGTATGTCTTGATGTATGTCTTGATGTATGTCTTGATGTATGTCTTGGTGTATGTCTTGATGTATGTCTTGATGTATGTCTTGATGTATGTCTTGATGTATGTCGTGATGTATGTCTTGATTTGACTGTTTTTGATTGTTTAACTACCAGATTATTCCGGGATTTAGCAGACAAGACGACGCTAACCATGATGCAACTTTACCACGTGATTTCATGGCTGCTGTGTCTCCAAGTTCTTCCCGTCTGCTCCGCCAGTCCTCTTGCTGTGCAGCAGGTAAACTGTTTTAATGGAAACATCCAAAGGCGTAGCGACCTATTTCGGCGTCCAGGGCGAACTAGCTATTCACACCCCCCCCCCATTTCGTTATAGTGATTAAAGTTGACGAAATAGCGCCCCCGCCGAATGTTATATATTTTTTTTCAGTCTGTAAAGTCTAGTGGCATCGTATGGTCTTAACTTTGTTCATTCACTAATGCAGCTCAGGGAGTCTTTTTTATTTCTTTCTACCCCATTTGGCGCCCAAGTCGGCGCTAGGGTCGGCTTTATTTAAAGTCGACCAGCTTTACTTTCCTATTTAGTTCCATGAAAAGGGGATTTATTGTATTCATGCGAATAATCGAAATCGAGATTTAAAAATAAATATAGAGGTCTTACTTTGTTACTATGTCCGCAGGTTGAATTGAACTTGAGATCAGAGGAACTGGTGCCAACAGAGAATCCACCTGACTGTGAGTAGCATTTGGTTTAAATTCATTACGTAGTTCTCACTTGTAAAAGATCGAGCACAGATAATATTAATATGTCCCGGTCTGATAAAGCTTGATGGCTGGGGACAGCAACTCTTCTAGGAGAGACAACTCTAAAATAAAGAGAAAAAAAAACTGCTGCTGCTTTTTAGACATTTCTCCTATCGTCCAAGCACAAATGGAAATTATTATACTCAATATTAATATTTGTACATGGACCTGAGGAGCCGCATCTTGACATCAAAGGAGCTGCACGCGGCTCGCGAGCCTCAGGTTGCCGACACCTGGCCTATGTAGATGTGGACCAAGGGAGATAATAAATAGTGTGATATTGTTGCGCAGCAGTTAGACTGTATTATCAAAACAGATATACAACATTTACTACTTAAATATATATATATATTTAATCTAGGTAATGTTTTCCTACTCAAATTACAGAAAATAAAAATGAGAAATTCTTTAAAATAGAAAGTTTATGATAAAAATCACATAACAATTAACGAATTCCATGTTAATAAATAATGAAATATGAACTTTAATTTTAATAACATAACAATTCTCTTTTAAAAAATCATTTGGTATCTGAATTATATAGTGCCTCCCTTGTTTCTGTTGAATATTGAAATGGGAGGTAATCGATACTAATATATATTCTAAGTTAAACTATTCGTTGTCTTCACCAACGCTGCGCATAGTATCTAACTCTAAATATATTAATGCAATGCAGTGCATCATTGATTATAGGATTTGAAATGCACATCTATATATAATATAAATTATCAAGACATATTATATATATATATATATATATATATATATATATATATATATATATATATATATATATATATATATATACATACATATAAGGCCTAACTATTGATAATCTAGGAACTTTAACATCTATTTTAAATTAATACTAATATAATTCATTTTATTTCATCCCTAAACCCACGGTTGTTATAGTTATTATAGTCGGCCACATTTTTTTTGGTCAATAAATTTGTGATGAGATGTTTTGTATTAAAACTATGTATAAGTAAACCATCTTAAATGATTGATAGTAGGCTACAAGTAAGAAAGAAGTATTAATATTGTAAATCTGTATCAGTCCTCACAAGCCAATAATGAAAACTTTAATACTAAAGCGAACATGCATGGCAAACTGACGCTGTAAATGACATGTCTGAGGCAAAAAAAAAATCAGCAACGCTCTAAAATTATTTTGACACTTCGATTTAGTAGTTGTTTTAGTATTATTAATATTATTATATTGGTAAGATTATAAGATCTAGGTATATATATATATATATATATATATATATATATATATATATATATATATATATATATATATATATATATATATATATATATGCTTATACACATATTTGATTTTGCATGAAGTTACTACACGCGAAAGGTATCGGTGCTTAATTGTCGGGAGCGGAGCCATTTTGTCGGGAGTCTATCTCTTTTGTCATTTTCACCACAAACACAGGCAATATTGAGTTGCCGCTATGAACAAAGTGTACCAGTTTCTTAACTGTTTCCAGATGATAGGCGGCGGGAGGGGGGGGGGGGGTCACAGGATGCTGAGATTATGCATACCTTATTGCTGCAGGATATTTAGCTATCATCATCTGACTTAGTTGATACCTTCAAGCAGCAAAAAGTCAACACACTTGACCTAGTGCAATCGCACAGCTCATTCTAATCAAACAAATAAGAAATCAGAGACAGAATCTGTTTGAAAGATAGCACCGGATCAACTATCTGTACAAGATAGGAATCGCCAGCTGTTCTTTTTACTGGTTTTCTGTGGTACAATCTATATATATATAATTCTCTTCTTGGAGACGATAGATATTACCAAGCTGTAAGCGCGACTCCTAGCAGCCCCCTCTCTTCGTCTCTAGGCATATCCCTACCACCCCCACCCCCACATGGTCTGGTGAGCTGTGGTTCACGCTAAAAGTTTACAATCGTAGAGCCGGGTTTAGTGACGGCTATTAAGGGCATATAATTTAGTTTGAAACGATTTTAAAGTTAGGGGGGGGGGGGGGGTAACTAAGAGGAGGCTGCTTTCACGGGGGGTGGGGGGGGGGGGGGTAAAGGAGGGTTTTAGTGTTTTAAAGAAAATATTTTCAGTGGCAGCATTCAAATTATGAATTACTGAAAAGTAGAAAATAAAACAACTAAATAGCGGCGAAATGATTCGCCGCGGGTCGGCTCATACTTTTAATTAGCTTTATCCTTATTTCATAGCTAGTTTCTTTGATAAATGTACTTAAACCTACTACTAAGCCTAGCACAAACCCAAATATTTGCCCTTATCCTAAGCTTTATCATATTTCAATAATCAAACTTCATCTATGAAGAATGTGAATACAAGCATTTGGGGTAATCCATTTATGACAAAAATGTAATAGACCTATCCAAACTTACCACCAGTTTTCAGTTTCACTAATATGTATGTGTACCTATTTACTGACACACGCCTTTATTATTTTCGATAATTCCGACGCATGCAAAGTATTAAGCATTTTATTTGCGTGTAGAGTGGAGTAGTGGCGGGGGGATACGGTGGCGTCGCTAGGTCAGGTTTCACCCGGTTTCGGCACATCAATCTGTCACCCCCCCCCCATGGGAATACTGTACACTACGTCAGCAGTCGATGCTGGTTGTGTGAATTCGCGAGTACGGATAACCGATAATATTTTTTGTCTTTTGTTCCCAGTGTCCACCGCACCAGCTGACGTCACTACCGACATCCCTTGCCGTGACGAAGACATCAACTGCGAGACTTTTGGCGCCCGAATCTGCAACTCCCCCTACGCCAACTGGTCCAAGACCAACTGCGCCAAGTTCTGTGGGCACTGCGTGGTCCCCACCGTCCCCACCACCCCGTCCCTCACCTGCTATGACGCGGACATCAACTGCGAGGCGTTCGGGCTCCGGATTTGCCGGTCGCCGTACGCCAACTGGTCTCAGACAAACTGCGCCAAATTTTGTGGGTTCTGTGACCTTGGGACGGAAATACCACTCATCTAGCTTGTCTCTGATTGGTCAACATTTATTACATTCATGACACTGCTGATATTTTGACAAGATTTAAAAAATCCAGATATACCCAACGCTTAGTACATCAATGAAATAAATGTATTTAGTAACGCGTACACTGCGTTCATCTTCCATACTTGTATGTCAATCTGACCTCTGCATGCTCAGCGATTCTGTACTCAGGGGTATGTTCTGTGACATGTACATCCCACCATAAGCGTAGCGACCCTTCCTGCCGCCCTGGGACAAACTTTCAATTTGGCGCCCCCCTCGGGAACAACCTCTCAGTTTTCAATTTGCACCCCCCAAACTTTCAATTTGCACCACCCCATATATTTTTTTATATTTATAATGCAAAACTGCAGCTAAAATGAGATTTTAATTTGTTTTTTCCAACCCATTTTGGCGCCCCCTAAGATCGGCGCCGGGGACATATGTACCCCCCCCCCCCCCCCCGCCCATCGCTACGCCTCTGCATTCCATTGTAGCAACACTACAGAAATACAACCGAGAAGCGTTCAGACTCCGCATCTACCGGATGCGCCCCACCAGCTACTCTGAGACAGATGCATAACGACCCTTCCCGGCGCCCGGTAACGAACTTACAATTTGGCGCACCCCCCCCCCCCACCCCGCCTCAAACTTTCGATTAGCACCCCCCTCAAACTATTTATAATGCAAAAATGCAGTTAAAATGAGATTTTAATTTGTTTTTACAAACCATTTTGGCGCCCCCTAGGTCGGCGCCCGGGGACATGTGTAACCCCCCCCCCCCATCGCTTCGCCTCTGCTCTGAGACAAACTTAACAATTTTTTAGTATTATCAGCCGTTTCTGATTGGTCCATATTCATCGAATACATTTTCATGCTTTAAAATTGTAAAATATCAAAACTGAATAAATTAATATTTAGCAGATCTATAGTAAAAAATTATTTAAATAATTCTTTAAATAAATAATATAGCTATTGTATACTTCACAAAAATACTATTTCTGCATTTTAAACAGACACAAAGACTATTTAAACATTTTTTGTTTAAAGTCATCGACGCACAGACTGTAGATCGATTTCTAGTAAATTCTAGTTGCCTAATACTTTACAACTCAATAATTTCATTTTCAAAAATTTCATTTAAAAGGTTCCCAGATAAATGCGCATACGAAAAACTGCGCAACGAAAAATTGCACAAACAGAAAAATGCTCAAATACAAATTAATTATACTAACATATTTTAATTTTTTTCATATATCGTCGACAAATGTTTTATTACATGTACATGTGGCCATTCTATGTTAATGTCTATAAATGATCGATGTTGTGCGCAGTTTTCCGTTGCGCATCTTTCCGGTCACACATTTAAAGACATACAAGTATATTAGTACATAAATCATCAGCAATGAAGGATTCATTACAACATTTTAGGAATACGTCAAATTTCTGAATTAGAGTTGAGATTTGAATTAACTTAAGGGCTATGATGAGTGCAACAAAAATGGAAATACAATAGACACTAGTGGTATAAATTAAAATAAATCAACACATAATAAACAAAAGGCGACGCCATAGAGTTGTGGGGCAATAAATAGTTAAACTATTAAATGGAAATCTACAACCTAACATATACTAAATGTTGGCACACGATAAATACAAGAAGTTAACACAGTAGAATATCCTTTGACACAGGAATGTAACACAGTAGAATATCATTTGAAACAAATGAAGTTAACACACTAGAATTTCTTTAGACACAGGAACTTGACACGCAGCTATATCTTTATACTGAGAGAGTTAACAGACCGGACTAACACACTAGAATCTCTTCAGTCACAAGAAGTTAAATAACACAGTGGAATTTCTTTAGACACAGGAAGTCTACACGCAGCTATATCTTTAGACTAAGAAAGTTAACAGACCGGACTAACACACTGGAATATCTTTAGCGTCCCTGACAAAAGTGTTGAGAATTTTTCCTCTGAAAGTCAAGAGCTCCTCGCACCACGCCCCTCCCGGCCCCCGGACGTGCTGAACAAACGGCACCGTCCCGATGAGCGCCGAACACCGGACGACCGCCGTGCTAGCCGTGTCCTTGGTGAACTCCCCCGTGTGGTTGTACGTTCCCGTGTGGCAATCATCAAGGTCATAGGTCACCTGCAACGTCTGATGCGGGTCCCGTGGGGACGGGTAGAGGGCCCCAAGTAGAGGGCGCTTTGTTAAAGGGAAGGTGATGTTCTTAGCGAAAGGTTTTTGAGATCTTAGAGTTACGTCCCATATGTGTGAAGTGTTTTCGGCGTAAAAGCTGACGTCGATGAAAGGGGATCGCCATTTGAATCCTTTAATGTAGTTTCCGTTTTTGTTGTAAAACTTGTACCTGGAAATAGAAGGCGAACTTGTAGTTCATAAACAAGGCGACTACATAAGAACGATTGTGTAAAATTAAATAAAAACATCAGTGACGACGATAAACGAATATCGGCCTGAAAAAGTTCTGGTTTGAGATGAAGAGATGAACGATACTGGAAGTACAGTCCCCTTCAGCATTTGTTTTGGTGGAGGGGGGGGGAGATTACAAAATGATGCAAAGAATTGTGTTGTACACAAACTCAGAGCACAGTCAGTAGGTTGTACGTAAATCAGTATGTACGTACGTGTGTGTATGTGTGTATGTGTGTATGTTTGTATGTGTGTATGTGTGCATACCTTTCTGTGCGTGTGTTCAAGGCATATTTGGCTGGAGCCTGGCGGAAAGCTGACCTCATGGCGGCCTTGAACTTCAGTGAGACAAGTATGTCAAGGTCATCGTCCCAGGGAATGATACTGTGGTGTCTGTAAGAGCCAAGCAGTGAACCCTGTAGGACAAAGTTCATCAAGTGTTAAATTTTAAGACTCAAGCAGAAAGCTGTAGGACAAAGTTCATCAAGTGTTAAATTCCAGGACCCAAGCAGAAAGCTGTAGGACAAAGTTCATCAAGTGTTCAATTCTAGGACCCAAGCAGAAAGCTGTAGGACAAAGTTCATCAAGTGTTAAATTCTAGGGCCCAAGCAGAAAGCTGTAGGACAAAGTACCAAGTATATCATATTAGGACCCAAGCATAGACCCCTGAAGGACAAAGTCTACCAAGGACAGAGAACTCTGGAGTGCTGTTGATGATGGCCTATACATCAACAGGACAGAGAACTGGAGAGCTCTTGATGATGACCTATACATCAACAGGACAGAGAACTGGAGAGCTCTTGATGATGACCTATACATCAACAGGACAGAGAACTGGAGAGCTCTTGATGATGACCTATACATCAACAGGACAGAGAACTGGAGAGCTCTTGATGATGACCTATACATCAACAGGACAGAGAACTGGAGAGCTGTTGATGATGGCCTATACATCAACAGGACAGAGAACTGGAGAGCTCTTGATGATGACCTATACATCAACAGGACAGAGAACTGGAGAGCTCTTGATGATGACCTATACATCAACAGGACAGAGAACTGGAGAGCTGTTGATGATGGCCTATACATCAACAGGACAGAGAACTGGAGAGCTGTTGATGATGGCCTATACATCAACAGGACAGAGAACTGGAGAGCTCTTGATGATGACCTATACATCAACAGGACAGAGAACTGGAGAGCTGTTGATGATGGCCTATACATCAACAGGACAGAGAACTGGAGAGCTGTTGATGATGGCCTATATATCAGCAGGACAGAGATCTCTGGAGGGCTGTTGATGATGACCTATACATCAGCAAGACAGAGATCTCTGGAGAGCTGTTGATGATGACCTATACATCAGCAGGACAGAGATCTCTGGAGGGCTGTTGATGATGACCTATATATCAGCAGGACAGAGATCTCTGGAGAGCTGTTGATGATGACCTATACATCAGCAGGACAGAGATCTCTGGAGGGCTGTTCCAGCCCAAACCACATTTTTCCGAACATCACAAGAACCTATACACAATCCAAGTATTCGGCACCCCAACTACCATACTAATAATCTTAATCAATGTATTATTTAACGTATTCCACTTTTTTAATTAAATTAATTAATAAATTAATTCCTTACCCTAACCAAAGGATCCGACTTAAAAGTCACCATAACCTGTGCATCTATCCAAGTAACTATTATATGACCCATTCGCCTAACCACTAATCGATAACCCTAACTCAATCATCAATTTAACCCATACATACCCAGGTAAAATCAAGAAATCTTCACCTTGTATAAGAAAAATGGAATCGAAGCGTTCTTCATAATGGCATGGAATAGTTCCAGTGTCTCTGTGATTGCGTTCAAATCTTTTTCTGATAGTTCGTAATCAAATAGATCTGGCAGAAAAAAAGCAACACATGTAAAAATAAAAGTATTTTATAAACCACTAAAAATAAAATAAGTAAACACAATTATATTTTTTGGTTGGTCGTTAAATAAAATGTATTGAAAATTTATTCTTGAGCGATAGGAATTAATTGACAGTCTTGTACTTTAGGAGCATTAGGGCAGATAAAGTAGAGTTAATCTGTTTTTAGGATTGACAATGAGAAACTTAACTAGTCAGTCTACCTGCCCCGGGGATTGTTCCACTGAGAGGGGGGGTGGGGGGGGGGCGTGGTGGGATGAAAATTAAAAATTGACACAATAATTGAGCACATTTGTGGAAAGGGTGAACACTATTCACCTAAATACCGATTACAAACACATCATTGTACATGTAAATGGTGAACACTAATCACTTCAATACATACTACACACACATCACTGTACATGTAAATGGTGAACACTCATCACCTAAATACTATTTAAAAACACATCATTGTACATGTAAATGGTGAACA